AGATAATGTTGCATGTGTGAGAATGTTGCATGTCAGATAATGTTGCATGTGTGAGAATGTTGCATGTGTGAGAATGTTCCATGTGTGAGAATGTTGCGTGTGTGAGAATGTTCCATGTGTGAGAATGTTGCATGTCAGATAATGTTGCATGTGTGAGAATGTTCCATGTGTGAGAATGTTGCATGTGTGAGAATGTTGCGTGTCAGATAATGTTGCATGTGTGAGAATGTTCCATGTGTGAGAATGTTGCATGTGTGAGAATGTTGCGTGTGTGAGAATGTTGCATGTCAGATAATGTTGCGTGTGTGAGAATGTTGCATGTGTGAGAATGTTGCATGTGTGAGAATGTTGCATGTTGTAGAATTTGCATGTGTGAGAATGTTGCGTGTGTGAGAATGTTGCATGTGTGAGAATGTTCCATGTGTGAGAATGTTGCATGTGTGAGAATGTTGCGTGTCAGATAATGTTGCATGTCAGATAATGTTGCATGTGTGAGAATGTTGCGTGTCAGATAATGTTGCGTGTCAGATAATGTTGCATGTGTGAGAATGTTGCATGTGTGAGAATGTTGCATGTCAGATAATGTTGCATGTGTGAGAATGTTGCATGTGTGAGAATGTTCCATGTGTGAGAATGTTGCATGTGTGAGAATGTTGCGTGTGTGAGAATGTTGCATGTGTGAGAATGTTGCGTGTGTGAGAATGTTGCATGTGTGGAAATGTTGCGTGTGTGAGAATGTTGCGTGTGTGAGAATGTTGCATGTGTGAGAATGTTGCGTGTGTGAGAATGTTCCATGTGTGAGAATGTTGCGTGTGTGAGAATGTTGCATGTGTGAGAATGTTGCATGTGTGAGAATGTTGCATGTGTGAGAATGTTCCATGTGTGAGAATGTTCCATGTGTGAGAATGTTCCATGTGTGAGAATGTTGCATGTCAGATAATGTTGCATGTGTGAGAATGTTGCATGTGTGAGAATGTTGCATGTGTGAGAATGTTGCATGTGTGAGAATGTTGCGTGTGTGAGAATGTTGCATGTGTGAGAATGTTGCGTGTGTGGAATGTTGCGTGTGTGAGAATGTTGCATGTGTGAGAATGTTGCGTGTGTGAGAATGTTCCATGTGTGAGAATGTTGCGTGTTAGAATGTTGCATGTGTGAGAATGTTGCATGTGTGAGAATGTTGCATGTGTGAGAATGTTCCATGTGTGAGAATGTTCCATGTGTGAGAATGTTCCATGTGTGAGAATGTTGCATGTCAGATAATGTTGCATGTGTGAGAATTTGCATGTGTGAGAATGTTGCATGTGTGAGAATGTGTGCATGTGTGAGAATGTTGCATGTGTGAGAATGTTGCGTGTGTGAGAATGTTGCGTGTGTGAGAATGTTGCATGTGTGAGAATGTTGCATGTGTGAGAATGTTGCATGTGTGAGAATGTTGCGTGTGTGAGAATGTTGCATGTCAGATAATGTTGCATGTGTGAGAATGTTTCCATTTTGTGAGAATGTTGCATGTGTGAGAATGTTGCGTGTGTGAGAATGTTGCATGTCAGATAATGTTGCATGTGTGAGAATGTTCCATGTGTGAGAATGTTGCATGTGTGAGAATGTTGCATGTCAGATAATGTTGCATGTGTGAGAATGTTGCATGTGTGAGAATGTTGCATGTGTGAGAATGTTGCGTGTGTGAGAATGTTCCATGTGTGAGAATGTTCCATGTGTGAGAATGTTGCGTGTGTGAGAATGTTGCATGTCAGATAATGTTGCATGTGTGAGAATGTTGCATGTGTGAGAATGTTGCATGTGTGAGAATGTTGCGTGTGTGAGAATGTTTCATGTGTGAGAATGTTGCGTGTGTGAGAATGTTGCATGTGTGAGAATGTTGCATGTGTGAGAATGTTGCATGTCAGATAATGTTGCATGTGTGAGAATGTTGCATGTGTGAGAATGTTGCGTGTGTGAGAATGTTGCATGTCAGATAATGTTGCATGTGTGAGAATGTTGCATGTGTGAGAATGTTGCGTGTGTGAGAATGTTGCGTGTCAGATAATGTTGCATGTGTGAGAATGTTGCATGTGTGAGAATGTTGCATGTCAGTTAACGTTGCATGTGTGAGAATGTTCCATGTGTGAGAATGTTCCATGTGTGAGAATGTTGCATGTCAGATAATGTTGCATGTGTGAGAATGTTGCATGTCCAGATAATGTTGCATGTGTGAATGTTGCATGTGTGAGAATGTTCCATGTGTGAGAATGTTGCCGTGTGGAGAATGTTCCATGTGTGAGAATGTTGCATGTCAGATAATGTTGCATGTGTGAGAATGTTCCATGTGTGAGAATGTTGCATGTGTGAGAATGTTGCGTGTCAGATAATGTTGCATGTGTGAGAATGTTCCATGTGTGAGAATGTTGCATGTGTGAGAATGTTCCATGTGTGAGAATGTTGCATGTCAGATAATGTTGCATGTGTGAGAATGTTGCATGTGTGAGAATGTTGCATGTGTGAGAATGTTGCATGTGTGAGAATGTTGCGTGTCAGATAATGTTGCATGTGTGAGAATGTTCCATGTGTGAGAATGTTGCATGTGTGAGAATGTTCCATGTGTGAGAATGTTGCATGTGTGAGAATGTTGCGTGTCAGATAATGTTGCATGTGTGAGAATGTTGCATGTGTGAGAATGTTGCATGTGTGAGAATGTTGCGTGTCAGATAATGTTGCATGTGTGAGAATGTTGCGTGTGTGAGAATGTTGCATGTCAGATAATGTTGCATGTGTGAGAATGTTGCGTGTCAGATAATGTTGCATGTGTGAGAATGTTGCGTGTCAGATAATGTTGCATGTGTGAGAATGTTGCATGTGTGAGAATGTTGCATGTGTGAGAATGTTGCGTGTCAGATAATGTTGCATGTGTGAGAATGTTGCGTGTGTGAGAATGTTGCATGTCAGATAATGTTGCATGTGTGAGAATGTTGCGTGTGTGAGAATGTTGCATGTCAGATAATGTTGCATGTGTGAGAATGTTGCGTGTCAGATAATGTTGCATGTGTGAGAATGTTGCATGTGTGAGAATGTTGCATGTGTGAGAATGTTGCGTGTCAGATAATGTTGCATGTTGTGAGAATGTTGCGTGTGTGAGAAGTTGCATGTCAGATAAATGTTGCATGTGTGAGAATGTTGCATGTGTGAGAATGTTGCATGTGTGAGAATGTTGCATGTGTGAGAATGTTGCATGTGTGAGAATGTTGCGTGTGTGAGAATGTTGCATGTGTGAGAATGTTCCATGTGTGAGAATGTTGCATGTGTGAGAATGTTGCGTGTCAGATAATGTTGCATGTCAGATAATGTTGCGTGTCAGATAATGTTGCGTGTCAGATAATGTTGCATGTGTGAGAATGTTGCGTGTCAGATAATGTTGCGTGTCAGATAATGTTGCATGTGTGAGAATGTTGCATGTGTGAGAATGTTGCATGTCAGATAATGTTGCATGTGTGAGAATGTTGCATGTGTGAGAATGTTGCATGTCAGATAATGTTGCATGTGTGAGAATGTTGCATGTGTGAGAATGTTGCATGTGTGAGAATGTTGCATGTGTGAGAATGTTGCGTGTGTGAGAATGTTGCATGTGTGAGAATGTTGCGTGTGTGAGAATGTTGCGTGTGTGAGAATGTTGCATGTGTGAGAATGTTGCGTGTGTGAGAATGTTCCATGTGTGAGAATGTTGCGTGTGTGAGAATGTTGCATGTGTGAGAATGTTGCATGTGTGAGAATGTTGCATGTGTGAGAATGTTCCATGTGTGAGAATGTTCCATGTGTGAGAAGTTCCATGTGTGAGAATGTTTGCATGTCAGATAATGTTGCATGTGTGAGAATGTTGCATGTTGAGAATGTTGCATGTGTGAGAATGTTGCATGTGTGAGAATGTTGCATGTGTGAGAATGTTGCGTGTGTGAGAATGTTGCGTGTGTGAGAATGTTGCATGTGTGAGAATGTTGCATGTGTGAGAATGTTGCATGTGTGAGAATGTTGCGTGTGTGAGAATGTTGCGTGTTTTGAAATGTTGCATGTGTGAGAATGTTGCGTGTGTGAGAATGTTGCATGTGTGAGAATGTTGCGTGTGTGAGAATCTTGCGTGTGTGAGAATGTTGCATGTGTTTAGAATTTGCGTGTGTGAGAATGTTGCATGTGTGAGAATGTTGCGTGTGTGAGAATGTTGCATGTGTGAGAATGTTGCATGTGTGAGAATGTTGCATGTGTGAGAATGTTGCATGTGTGAGAATGTTGCGTGTGTGAGAATGTTGCATGTCAGATAATGTTTCAGTGTGAGAATGTTGCATGTGTGAGAATGTTGCATGTGTAGAATGTTTTCATGTCAGATAATGTTTCATGTGTGAGAATGTTGCATGTGTGAGAATGTTGCATGTGTGAGAATGTTGCATGTCAGATAATGTTTCATGTGTGAGAATGTTGCATGTGTGAGAATGTTGCATGTGTGAGAATGTTGCATGTGTGAGAATGTTGCATGTGTGAGAATGTTGCATGTCAGATAATGTTTCATGTGTGAGAATGTTGCATGTGTGAGAATGTTGCATGTCACTTTGTCGGTATCACTTTGACGGTATCATTTTGATGGCGTCAATCTCACAGTATCAATTTGATGGTATCATTTTGACGTTAACAGTTTGACAGGTGTGTGGTATGATCCTTCCTGTGACAGATGACCTGTGCTACAGGTGTGGTGTGATCCTGTGACAGATGACCTGTGTTACAGGTGTGTGGTGCTATCCTGTAACAGATGACCTGTGTTACAGGTGTGATGTGATCCTGTGACAAATGATTTGTGTTACAGGTGTGTGGTGCTATCCTGTGACAGATGACCTGTGTTACAGGTGTGGTGTGATCCTGTGACAGATGACCTGTGTTACAGGTGTGTGGTGCTATCCTGTGACGGATGACCTGCCTTACAGAAATGTTGTGGTCCACCCCATGAGAGATGACTTACGTTACAGGTGTGGTGGTATCTTGGGCTGTACCAGGTCAGCCAGGTCACTCCCATGTCAACTGCCGCACCAACGACTACATCAAGCAGGAGATGGTCGCCAGGGGTATGGTAGTGGACGAGGCTGCTGAGGTGAAGCTGAGGAACCAGTCGGATCTACAACACTTTAAGAATACTCTCATGGTCTTTAAATTTCCTAAGAAGATATGCTGAAACTCGCTCTTTCATACCCTCATGTATTTACACGGTGTATGTACTGAAAACGTACGCCATTTGAGTTTAAATGGTCAAGTTCGAGCCGTGGGAAAACAAGAGACAGAGATAGGATGTTCCAGAGATTGGACACAGAAACAAGGGGTCAAAATTGGAAGTTGAAGAGACCAGATGAGTCAAAGGGATGTTAGGAAGTATTTCTTCAGTCATAGAGTAGTCAGGAAGTGGAATGGAATAGCAAGTGAGGTAGTGGGGGCAGGAACCATACATAGCTTTAAGATGAGGTATGATAAAGCTTATGGAGCAGTGAGAGAGAGGTCCTAGTAGCACTCAGTGAAGAGGCAGGGCCAGGAGCTAAGTCTCGACCCCTGCAACCACAATTAGGTGAGTACAACCTTTGGGAAGTTCTTAGGTTAGGTTAATTTAGATTAAGTTAGGTTAGGTTAGGTAAGGTTGGGGTAAGTTAGGTTAGGTTAGGTTAAAGTTAGGTTAGGTAAGGTAAGGTAAGGTAAGGATAGGTTAGGTTAGGTTAGGTTAGGTTAGGTTAGGTTAGGTTAGGTTAGGTTAGGTAAGGTAAGGTAAGGTAAGGTTAGGTTAGGTTCACTAGGAAACAGTACAAGTGCTTCCTGACGCGGGTCTTAGTCATATGATTACCCGCAGTTGGAGCTTTTAGTCATCTGACCGAGGCCTTCCACTGGCTTACCCTTTCACCTTTTAAAATATTATGGTTACCAATTATGATCATAACCATTAGATGGGGAGACTTATCAGTGTACAAGAACTCGACAACGTACATTGTACATCACTCGTACACTTCTCATCACAGACTGTCCTGCCACTGATGCTGTAAACACAAGCACTGGCACTGGCTATTTGTGGTTCGTTTAACATCTACATTATGCACCTCATACCGATCCCGTGGGCGGTAGTCAAAGGATTACAGAGGTACATAATGGTCCTAGGGACTGTATCTCAACATTACAGAGGTACATAATGGATCCCAGGACTGTACCTCAACACTAAAGAGGTACATAATGGGTCCAAGGACTGTATCTCAACAATACAGAGGTACATAATGGGCCTAGGGACTGTATCTCAACATTACAGAGGTACATAATGGGCCTAGGGACTGTATCTCAACATTAGAGGTACATAATAGGTCCAGGGACTGCATTTCAACATTACAGAGGTACATAATGGGCCTAGGGACTGTATCTCAACATTAGAGGTACATAATAGGTCCAGGGACTGTATCTCAACATTACAGAGGTACATAATGGGCCTAGGGACTGTATCTCAACATTAGAGGTACATAATAGGTCCAGGGACTGTACCTCAACATTACAGAGGTACATAATGGGCCTACGGACTGTATCTCAACATTACAGAGGTACATAACGGGCCTAGGGACTGTATCTCAACATTAGAGGTACATAATAGGTCCAGGGACAGCATGTCAACATTACAGAGGTACATAATGGTCCAGGGACTGTATCTCAACATTAGAGGTACATAATAGGTCCAGGGACAGTATGTCAACATTACAGAGGTGCATAATGGGTCCAGGGACTGTATCTCAATATTAGAGGTACATAATAGGTCCAGGGACAGTATGTCAACATTACAGAGGTACATAAAGGGCCTAGGAACTGTATCTCAACATTAGAGGAACATAATAGGTCCAGGGACAGTATGTCAACATTACAGAGGTACATAATGGGTCCAGGGACTGTATCTCAATATTAGAGGTACATAATAGGTCCAGGGACAGTATGTCAACATTACTGAGGTACATAATGGGTTCAGGGACAGTATGTCAACATTACAGAGGTACATAATGGGTCCAGGGACTGTATCTCAACATTAGAGAGGTACATAATGGGCCTAGGGACTGTATCTCAACATTAGAGGTACATAATAGGTCCAGGGACTGTATCTCAACATTACAGAGGTACATAATGGGCCTAGGGACTGTATCTCAACATTAGAGGTACATAATAGGTCCAGGGACTGTACCTCAACATTACAGAGGTACATAATGGGCCTTGGGACTGTATCTCAATATAGGAGGTACATAATAGGTCCAAGGACTGTATCTCAACACTACAGAGGTAACATAATGGGCCTAGGGATTGTGTCTCAACATCACAGAGGTACATAATGGGCCTAGGGACTGTATCTCAACATTAGAGGTACATAATAGGTCCAGGGACAGTATGTCAACATTACTGAGGTACATAATGGGTCCAGGGACAGTATGTCAACATTACAGAGGTACATAATAGGTCCAGGGACAGTATGTCAACATTACAGAGGTACATAATGGGTCCAGGGACAGTATGTCAACATTACAGAGGTACATAATGGGTCAGGGACTGTGCCCCAAAGTTTTGATAACTGACCAAGGTACAAAAGTAATGAACTATCTACATGTTTATATCTGGTCACACTTATGAGGTATTTACGCAGACATCTATGGTTGCATCTTGACGTGTGTGCCTACGTCTGACCGTCCATGTACGTAGTTATAGCAATGAGGGGCTCTGGTGGCCTGGTGGCTAACGCTCTCGCTTCGCACGGCGAGGGCCTGGGTTCGATTCCCAGCCAGAGTAGAAACATTGGACGTGTTTCTTTCCACCTGTTGTCTATGTTCCAGACTGAGAGTCGAAGATCAAAATGAATTTTTTATGAGAGAGCCACAAAATTTGATTAACACAAGCCTATCCGATGTTATCCTGACGCCAAATGACTTCGAACAGGCGATAAATGACATCCCCATGCACTCTGCCCCAGGGCCAGACTCATGGAACTCTGTGTTCATCAAGAACTGCAAGAAGCCCCTATCACGAGCCTTTTCCATCCTATGGAGAGGGAGCATGGACACGGGGGTCGTCCCTCAGTTACTAAAAACAACAGACATAGCCCCACTCCACAAAGGGGGCAGTAAAGCAACAGCAAAGAACTACAGACCAATAGCACTAACATCCCATATCATAAAAATCTTTGAAAGGGTCCTAAGAAGCAAGATCACCACCCATCTAGAAACCCATCAGTTACACAACCCAGGGCAACATGGGTTTAGAACAGGTCGCTCCTGTCTGTCTCAACTATTGGATCACTACGACAAGGTCCTAAATGCACTAGAAGACAAAAAGAATGCAGATGTAATATATACAGACTTTGCAAAAGCCTTCGACAAGTGTGACCATGGCGTAATAGCGCACAAAATGCGTGCTAAAGGAATAACAGGAAAAGTCGGTCGATGGATCTATAATTTCCTCACTAACAGAACACAGAGAGTAGTCGTCAACAGAGTAAAGTCCGAGGCAGCTACGGTGAAAAGCTCTGTTCAACAAGGCACAGTACTAGCTCCCATCTTGTTCCTCATCCTCATATCCGACATAGACAAGGATGTCAGCCACAGCACCGTGTCTTCCTTTGCAGATGACACCCGAATCTGCATGACAGTGTCCTCCATTGCAGACACTGCAAGGCTCCAGGCGGACATCAACCAAATCTTTCAGTGGGCTGCGGAAAACAATATGAAGTTCAACGATGAGAAATTTCAATTACTCAGATATGGTAAACATGAGGAAATTAAATCTTCATCAGAGTACAAAACAAATTCTGGCCACAAAATAGAGCGAAACACCAACGTCAAAGACCTGGGAGTGATCATGTCGGAGGATCTAGCCTTCAAGGACCATAACATTGTATCAATCGCATCTGCTAGAAAAATGACAGGATGGATAATGAGAACCTTCAAAACTAGGGAGGTCAAGCCCATGATGACACTCTTCAGGTCACTTGTTCTATCTAGGCTGGAATATTGCTGCACACTAACAGCACCTTTCAAGGCAGGTGAAATTGCCGACCTAGAAAATGTACAGAGAACTTTCACGGCGCGCATAACGGAGATAAAACACCTCAATTACTGGGAGCGCTTGAGGTTTCTAAACCTGTATTCCCTGGAACGCAGGAGGGAGAGATACATGATTATATACACCTGGAAAATCCTAGAGGGACTAGTACCGAACTTTCACACGAAAATCACTCACTACGAAAGCAAAAGACTTGGCAGACGATGCACCATCCCCCCAATGAAAAGCAGGGGTGTCAGTAGCACGTTAAGAGACCATACAATAAGTGTCAGGGGCCCGAGACTGTTCAACTGCCTCCCAGCACACATAAAGGGGATTACCAACAGATCCCTGGCAGTCTTCAAGCTGGCACTGGACAAGTACCTAAAGTCAGTTCCTGATCAGCCGGGCTGTGGCTCGTACGTTGGTTTGCGTGCAGCCAGCAGCAACAGCCTGGTTGATCAGGGGCTGATCCACCAGGAGGCCTGGTCACAGACCGGGCCGCGGGGGCGTTGACCCCCGAAACTCTCTCCAGGTAAACTCCAGGTCAATAAAATAGGTACCTGAGTGTTAGTGGACTGGTGTGGGTCGCATCCCGGGATACTGACCTAATTTGCCCGACATGCGGAGCATAACAAGGGACTTTCTATATAGCAGTATGTCATTGTTGTCAGCTACGACTGTATACCTTGTACATGTACTTGTAGTAAATAAAGATAATATTATTAATGACAAACAACACCTTGTGGCCCGGTGGCCTGGGTGTGGCCCGGTGGCCCGGTGGCCTGGTGGCTAAAGCTCCCGCTTCACACACGGAGGGCCCGGGTTCGATTCCCGGCGGGTGGAAACATTTCGACACGTTTCCTTACACCTATTGTCCTGTTCACCTAGCAGCAAATAGGTACCTGGGTGTTAGTGGACTGGTGTGGGTGGCATCCTGGGTGTTAGTGGACTGGTGTGGGTGGCATCCTGGGGGACAAGATTAAGGACCACAATGGAAATAAGTTAGACAGTCCTCGATGACGCACTGACTTTCTTGGGTTATCCTGGGTGGCTAACCCTCCGGGGTTAAAAATCCGAACGAAATCTTATCTTATCTTATCTTGTCTTCCAGTCCAACTGGAAACAAGTCACTTTGTCTGGATTTTCTGGCTTATCCTGTGTAAATTACGCTATGTATGATTATTGTACTTATGTATACTTGCACCTAAATAAACCTATTTAGTATGTCTGCAACATTCTTTAATAATAATAATAATAATAATAATAATAATAATAATAATAATATCATTATTTACTAGCAGTACATGTACAAGGTATACCAGTACATGTACAAGGTATATACATGTACAATGTACAAGGGTATACCAGTACATGTACAAGGTATACCAGTACATGTACAAGGTATACCAGTACATGTACAAGGTATACCAGTACATGTACAAGGTATACAAGTACATGTACAAGGTATACAAGAACATGTACAAGGTATACCAGTACATGTACAAGGTATACCAGTACATGTACAAGGTATACAAGTACATGTACAAGTATACCAGTACATGTACAAGGTATACAAG